GAAAATGGACTAGTTCATGATAGGCAGCATGGTTTTGTACAGGGAAGGTCATGAATCACCAAACTGATCGAATTTTTTGAAGAGGTGACAAAGATAATTAATGAGAGAAGGACTTAGTAAGACATTTGATAAATTCCCACATGGCAGATTGGTACAGAAACCAAAATTACATGGGATTTGGAGTGGGCTGGCGAGATGGATACAAAACTGGCTTGGTCATAGAAGACAGAGAGTAACGGTGGAAGGGTGTTTTTCAGAATGGAGATTGATAACTAGTGGTGTTCCACAGGGATCAGTCTTAGGTCCTCTGTTGTTTGTAGCATATATAAATGATCTGGAGGAAAATGTGGGTGGTCTGATTAGTAAGTTTGCAGATGACATGCAGATTCGTGGAGTTGCTGATAGTGCCACTGATTGTGAAAGGATACAACAGGATATAGATAGATTGGTGACTTGGGCACAAAAATGGCAGATGGAGTTTAATCCAGACAAATGTGAGGTGATGCATTTTGGGGGATCAAATTTAGGTGTGAATTATACTGTAAATGGCAGAACCCTTAGGAACACTAACATTCAGATGGATCTGGGCGTGGAGATCCACAGTTCCCTAAAAGTGGCAACACATATGGCATGCTTGCCTTCATCGCCTGGCGCGTTGAGTTGGCAAACCACGTTGCAGCTATATAAAACCCTTGTTAGGCTGCATTTGGAGTATTGTGTGCAGTTTTGGTCGCCACATTACCAGAAGGATGTGGAAGCTTTGGAGAGAGTGCAGAGAAGGTTCACTGGGATGTTGCCCAGACTTGAGGGCATTGTCTACGAGGAAAGGTTAAAAAGGCTAGGATTGTTTTCACTGGAAAGACGGCAGCTGAGAGGAGACCTGATAGAGGTCTACAGAATTATGAGAGGCACAGATAGGGTGGATAGTCAGAGGCTTTTTCCCAGGGTTGAAGTTTCAATTACGAGGGGCACAGGCACAAGGTGAGAGGGGAAAAGTTTAAAGGAGATGTGCAAGGGAAGGTTTCATGCAGCGAGTGGGTAGGAGCTTGGAACGCACTGCCAGAAGAGGTGGTGGAAGCAGGCACGTTGGCAACATTTAAGAGGCATCTAGATGGTTACATGAAGAGGGAGGGAATGGAGGGACATGGACCAAATAAGGGCAGAAAGTTTGTTTTTTAGTTTAGTTAGGACATGATGGTCGGCAGAGGCTTGGAGGGCCGAAGGGCCTGTTCCTGTGCTGTACTTCTGTTTTGTCCCTCCCAGAAATGATGGGGAACACAGAGGGAGAAACTGAAGCAAGTCTGTACAGAAATGGTGCTGGAGACATTGATGGGATTGAAGGTCAATCAATTCTCAGGGCCTGATAATCTACTTAAGGAAATGGACATGCATTCTGGAACAGTTTGCACAGATTGGAGGGTAGCTAATGTAACCTCACTGTTTAAAAATGGTATTAGAAAGAGAACAGGCAATGAAAAACCAGTGATTCTGACATTGATAATGGGGAAAATGCTACAGTCCATTATCAAGGATTTTACAGCAGAGCACTTAGAAAACCAGTGGCAGAATCAGACCCAGTCAGAATGGGTTTACAAAAGGGAAATCATGCTTCACAAATTGTCGGTAATGTTTTGAGGATGCAACCACTACTGTTGATTGGAGGAGCCAGTAGGTGTGATTTGTTTGGACTTTCAGAACATTTTTGACAAAGTTCCGCACAAGAGATTAATGTGTCAAATTAAAGCACATGGGATTCAGGGGAGTGTACTGCGGTGGGTAACAAAAAAATCAGTTTGCAGACAGGAAACAACAAGTAGGAATAAACGGGTTGTTTTCTGAGTGGCAGGCAGTGACTAGTGGGGAACCGCAGGGATCAATACTCGGACCTCAGCTATTCACAATATATATGAATGATTTACATGAGGGAACAAAGTGCAATGTCTCAAACTTTGCAGATGACATTGTGGTCAAGTTACCATGGACCCAAAATTAAAACATTCCAAAGTGACTCACAGCTGGAGAAATCAGGCAGGACAGAGAGCTAGCCAAACTAAACTAAACAGCTGTTGGCGACAGAGAACGGTGGAAACCAAGGGAGAAGAGGTCAGAAAGGATCAGGGATGCCTGAGATCAGTTACAGCCAGCCTGAGGATTGTGTATTGGCAAAATATCAATCAGACTTTCTGGCACCTTGACTTTGAGCCAGTGCCTGAGGACGTGCACTTACACCCGCCTGGCAATGGCAACAGTGAAGGCTACAGGTGCAAACCCATTGGATGCTTTGAACACCACTCATGACCCGATTGGTCAAAGTCTAGAGAAATTTCCAGAAGTTTCGGGATGAGGTGGATAAAAACATATGCAACACCCTCAGTGAAGACTCGCAGCAAGACTCAAGGCAGCAGAGCATAAGGCAACGCAGGACATGACCCGCCCTGACCCAAGAAAGGCATCTTTGTGGGAGACAGCCAGGCCTACATTACAGGGGGCATTCCAACAGCCCAGCTCCAACACGTGGATCGTTGTGAGTAATATCCTTGCTCAGACCAATAGAGCTAGGTAGAGAGTAAACATTGTAGAAATTTGGAAAATGTTCACATGATGGTTTTAATAAGAAATTTTTTTAATAAAATCAAGTAGAACTACAAACTGAATTCTGTGCCTCTCCCCACCTCAAGGTCAAGAGCATCTGGGTAAAGTGTTTTTAATGCCTAAACTGGTCAAAGTGTGCAAAGCACAGAGGACAACACAAAGCTGGCTGGGTGGGTGGGAGGGTGAGCTGTGACGGGGGATGCAGAGATGTTGCAGTGTAATTAGGAAAGGCTGAGTGAGTGCGTAAATCCTGGGCAGCTGCAGTGTAATGTGGATGAGCGTGAGGTTGTAAACACAGGAAGGCAGATTTTTATCTGCATGGCGATATTCCAGGAAAGGGAGAGAGTGTGCAGCGGGACCTGGGTGTCCTTGTGCACCAGTCGCTGAAGGTAAGCATGCAGATGCAGCAGGCGGTAAAGAAGGAAAATGTTATGTTGGCCTTCAGAGGAACAGGATTCGGATACAGGAACAAGGATGTCTTGCTGCAATGATACAGGGCCTTGGTGAGGCCACAGCAGGAGTATTGTGTGCAGTTTTGGTCTCCTTATCCCTCCCGATGAAGGGAGTGCAACAAAGGTTTCCGAGACTGATTCCTGGGATGTCAGCACTGATGTTTGAAGAGAGACTGGATCAGTTAGGATTATATTCACTGGAGTTTAGAAAAAGAGGGGGCCTTCTCCTAGGAACCTGTAAAATTCTAACAGGACTAGGCAGCAGCAATGCAGGAAGGATATTCCTGATGACCGGGGAGTCCTTAACCAGGAATCATCATGGCCACAAAAAGCAGTCAAGGCTAAAACATTGTATTATTTCAAGAAGGAATTGGAATATAGCCCTTGGGGCTGAAGGGATAAAAGGACATGAGGGGAAAAACAGGAAGAGGCTATTGGGTTGGATCATTAGCTATGAATGGTGGAGCAGGTTTGAAGGGCTGAATGGCCTCCTCCTGCTCCCATTTTCTATTTTACAAGATTGGATCCAGCAATGAGGAACCTCAGGACAGATTGAAAAAGCAGGGACTGTTCTCCTTCCTTGGACAGCAGAAGGCTGAGAGGAGATTTGATTGAGGTTTTCAAAATCAGGAATGGGCGAGACAGAGTAGATGGGGCGGAACTGTTGCTGCTCATAAAAGAAATAAGACCAAGGAAGGCCAGGATTGTAAGTGATGTGCAAACAGAGTTAAGGGGGATGAGAGAGAAAACAGTTTCACACAGTGAGTAGTTAGGGTGTGGAATGCACTGCCTGGAAGTGTGATGGAGGCAGCTTCAAGTGAGGCTTTCAGGAGGATATTGGATTGTTATTTGGATAGAGATGGTGTGCAGGGATATAGGGCAAAAGCAGGACGTTGTTGTGAGGTCATAGAACCACTGCAGGTACGATGGGCCGAGTAGCCTCCGTGTGCACTGTACCTGCTCCATGACGCCGAGTCCAACTGCCTGCCACACAGAGCCCATGGCTGCCTTATGGCTGTAGGTGATCCATGCCCCAGCACACACTGGCAATGGACAGCCCTGGGGGTAACCAGCACCCTCACAGGCAACAGCTGACCAACCAGAGCAAGCAAGCCATTCAGTCCATTGTGCACCCTCCTTCACACTGATAGTACATCAAAGCTGAGAGGGCCGAAGGGTCTCTACCTGTTTGTGTCTCACAGGCTGAGGGGCTGAATGGCTTCGAAATGAGATTATAGAGAAGTAGATCATTCTGCCCTTCTAGACAGGGCCAGCATTCCGAGTGTTGTCCTAGGGTTTTCGGAAGAGGATGATGGTGACCGATGGAACAGCTTGACTGGGAGCGCTGTCATGACTGGAGCAGAGCAGCTCATTCCCAGAAAGAGACCCCGGCCCTGCCCCTAGAGAGGGCAGAGAGAGAGCAAGACAGGCCAACCCCTCTGTGGCAGGGGGGTGTGAGAGACTGTGTGTGTGCGCGCGCGCGTCTGACAGTGTGTGTGTGAGAGATACTGTGTGTGCGTGTGTGTGTGTGTATCTGACTGTGTGTGTGTGTGTGTCTGACAGTGTGTGTGCGAGAGATACTGAGTGT